ATAGATAGATAGATAGATAGATAGATAGATAGATAGGTAGATAGATAGATAGATAGATAGATGTACGTACGTACGTACGTACGTACGTACGTACAGGTATAGTATAGTTTGTCCTCTTTATTTCAAAATTCCAACAGTGTCCCCTAGTCTTGGAAAGGGTGCCTGCTTCCATTTTGGGGCAAAAGAGAATGGAAGACAAAGGCCCAACCTTGAAGAGGGGGGAAAAAACAACAAATCTTCATTACAACCATTGCCTTATTAGATGGCTCAGCAGTCTATGCAAATACAGAGAGTCAGCGACCATTTGAAATGATGATGGCACTGAATGAAGACTGCTGCCCAAAGTTACTACCATTGTAGTACCCCCACAGACATGTGAACAAAATTCAGATTTTTGACCAAAGGGACACTGCAGCCTGTCTTTTTCCAATCCTACCCTGCTGGGGGTCCCTGCAAACTTGGGTTTGTTTCCCATCCTGTTGGGTCTACATCCTCATCACAGCTCTGTGTCTTATCTTTTCAGTTGTTCTCCTTTGAAAAGCAGTTGCTTAGCCAAGAGTCCTTCCTATACAGAGCCCCAGCGCCATTCCAGAAGTGGACATCATTTTGCAATGAATTGTGGCTCCTTCGAAATGGTGCCCACTTCAAGGATGATGTCATATGGCTCCATACTGTATAAGAAGGCTGAAGGGTGAAATGCCTGGTTCTCCTTTAGGAAGGAGAGTTTGCCATTCCACTCCTTAGCTTCCTTATGTATTACGGAGGCTGTTTGACAGGACCAGGCACCATTTTGAAGTGGGTGCAATGAATTATGCTAGCTGTAAGTTTTATTTCTTGTTGATTGAGGAAATACACATTTTGAATGCTTTGCCCCATAATGCAGAACCTTTAATAACAGAGTTTGAATTCCATCATTTCGAGATATCTTGATGGAGTAGCTCTCTGGGAAATTTGTGTTCATGTTAGTTAGATGTTGCTCTCCCTTCCTTTGGAAATATCCAAAAGTCTTAAGGTACTTGTTCAAAAGATTGCTGACTGATGTTGCTAGTTTCTGTCAAGATGAATCTGATACTTGGGTTGCATCTGGAGGGAAACAGAGGGTATATTGAAAGTTAAAGGAGGATCTTGCTCATCTATTGGATGCATACCATTTGAAAGGAAACACATTATTATAACAGGATGTAGGGAGAATGTTTTCTGACATGGACAACTAGATTCCTATAGCTCCAAAACATAAGGTGGCAAATCTCCAGTAAAACCTTTGGTCATATTCTTCTGGCATTTATCTCAGAAATGGAACCAGAATTCTTGTTAGGTTGGAAGCATTGGTGGCAGGAAATGGAGGGGGGGGGGGATCCCAATAAAATAGTCCAATCGTAATTCCATCCAGAATATTCCAAAGAGCCATTGTGTTTTGCAGCAAGCTGGACCAAAATCTCCGAAATAAAATTTGTATTGCTCCAGATTTGAAATATTTAGAATGACTTGTTTTGAGCTCATAATGTTCTGTTCTGATTCTAAAAATCATCTCATAAACCATAAATCTACTATTTGTCAGTTTATGTAGATCCCCTAAAAACTTCATTACTAGCTGAACAAATTACTTCTTCCAGTCTCTTGACCTCAAAAATGTATTTTTTAATTTATCAGTTAAAGCTGTGTCCTGTTTTTCTATGTGTGTAAATATTCTAAATGGCTTACAATAATTAAATAATGTGAAATACAGAAAAATAATGGTAAAAATCAGTACAGTTAAAATAAAATTGAATATTAAAATAACTATAATTATAATAATTTACAGTCAGAAACCTTTTTTTATTGAACACATTAATTCAGTCTTAATGGATTAGATATATCAACATGAAAATGATCTTGCAGAGTTGGAGACCATTAATACAATACATGTCAGAAATTAGTAGGCATCAAACTGAAACTTAAAGAAATGTGAAGACACTCAGTAGAACAAGGCAGCATTGCCCATAGTCAAATGCCATAAGGGCTTTGCATATTAGATTGATAACACGTGTAGGGCAATAAAAACAGGCTGGCATCATCATGGAAGTATGAAACACTGTGGAAATTAGAGAGGATTACACCAGCTGCAGTTGAAACCTTTGATGTATATCAAATTTCATTTCAGTGTTTTCTGCTTGTCAGTAGAAAGTTGTTTGCCACTTGCTAAGTTCCTCATTTTATCCTGGAAGAGTTGAGGGTGGTACTAAACGGCTTTCTACTTACCATAAATATCTTAGATTTATACAAAAGATAATATCTATAAACAAACAATATTGGATAATTCTGAATATATAATTCATGCAAGGAAATTTTACAGTTCCCACAGAATTCCTTGATTCTGTGCAAACTGCAGATTGCTTTTCAAACATGCCAAATTAAGTTTAGAAAGTTGCTACTGAAGAAACCCTAAGTTTTATCTGTTAATCTTGCTCATGGGTCTTTGAATTCTGTCCATTATACCTAATACTTAAAAAAAAAAAACCTGGCACATTATATTTCTACATTATTGTCTCTTGATTTCTTTTTAATTTCTAAAATTCTTCAGAATATTCATATAAGGATATATTAGATTTTAGAGTTCTAACTAGTGACGTACAACATGTACATATATTATCCACACAAACTTTCCTTTGTACATTCTCCCAGCTAAATTTAATTTGTTTATCCAAACGAAACTATATCTCCACCTAGGTTCACCCCTTATGATCAGCCAAGTTCTTTCCCAGCTGTGCAACATAAACAGTTCCCGATTTTCTAGGAAAACTTATTCAGTCCATTTGTTTAAATGTTTGATATGTCTAATAATTAACTCACCATTCTACTAACAGAGATATTAACATTTCCTTCCAAAAAGTAATCTTGAGTATTGAATCTCAGACCAAATCCTTCATTGCTTGGAAACCTGATTATTTCTGTTTTGCCTATATCTTAGTTTATGCATGAAAAAAAATGATTTGGCAGTTATATATTTCAGCAAGGCATGTCTTGGATCTTACTGAAATGATTGCTAAAGCAGTATTTCCTTTTACATTGAATACTTTGAATTCAATTATCAAACATAATTGAATACATTGAATACTTTGAATTGTTCAATTATCAAACATATCATTAATTTATGTATAAAATGTACTTTATTAGAAATGTTTTCAGATATAGCAATGGCAATTTGCATATGATTCTTTTAATTTTTTTCTAATATAAAGATACATTATTTCTGACTTCATGTGAAGAAAATTTATTATTAATTTTTATTTAAATGAAATAAAAGAGTAGAGGAAAACAAAGAATCTTACACATTGGTAGCAATAGCAGCAGTGACTTTTAAAAGCTTCTGTTTTCTGTAGTTTAATTTTGTTAAAAATTTCTCAATCAGTATGCTGACTTTCACTTTCAAATTGATTTGTTTAATCTGTACAGTATTTCACATTGATTCAAAAGATTTTGCAAGGCAGAATCTGAAAACTGTTGAAATGTATCTTTTGGCTCCCTCCCACCCCCCCAAGAAAAACAACTACCATTACAACCTCTGAACTATGCTAAATCTTCTCCAGGGGTGACTCTATTCTCATGTTGTCTCTCCTCTGTCTGTTCAGCAGTGGGAGACATTTAGTGAACGCTCTTCCAGCTCACAAACTCTGACCCAATTTGATTCTAACATTGCACCAGCTGATCCTGTAAGTCAATCACTTAGCTTGCTTCTTTGAAATTAATTTTATTAACTCCAAATTTTCATTAATTGTTTTGGTTTTGCATGTTAAGTAGAGGGGAATTGTAAACAATTTAATAGTTTGTTCTGCTTTAAAATTCATCAAAGGGTCCTGTCTGTCACTGCAATTAAAATAATAAAATATTTTAGAAGTGCAAAAATAAAATTAGGTCTGTTCTTTTCTAATATTTGTCCCAATATTTTGAGATTTTTTATTTAACTCTTTTTTAAAGGATGGTAAAACATTTTAACTGAGTTTTCTTTACTGATAAATGTGTTGGAAATAAAAAGTAAAAACGGTGACTTTTTTACAAAAGCTAATGTGAACCTGGACATCCAGGACCATCTTGTTTTTCTGGATCCAATTCTCTTTCTGTTACACCCAAAAGCTTCTTACATGAATACACCCTTTGTAGACATATTTCACAATTACATAATTTAAACCTTTTCTCACATCCTTCACTGTTCATGGAAATCATGGATGCCATAGGTATGTCAGGCACACATACTTCATCATATGATCTTGCACACAAGAAAGCTAGACTAAACATAATAACTTATCTCCAAAGAATCAATATTTCCCCTATTATTTCTCAAAATTTATTGTTGTTGTCAAACTTATATGGGGGAGGACCCTCAAAAAATGCTCTATTGATGACCAGAGTGTATGTTGCAGGTGGGAGGAGTCATTGGTTTTATAATAGCTTAGGTATAAGTATATAAATATTTATACACCTTATGAGAACACCTTGAACCAGTGAGTATAAAGAGGTTGTTTTATTAGTAGGATAATGGGTACCCTCTAGGAGACACCCTCACAAATTGGGCTCAGACATTTGCAATTGTTTGATCATCCTAAGGGCCGCCACACATTGCAGTAGTGATGTTATTAGTTCATGGATCACCAGATCCAGAATTGATAATTTTTGTGATACGTTAATAAAGTATGAATAGTGATCCAAGCCTGCCCCAGATTGTCAACTTGTTTTAAAGAAGAGCGCAGCTCCATCAGAACTGCTACGTGTCAAAGTCTGATGTCAAGAATTCAGAATCAATATTCCATTTTGTCTGAATCAAGGTGCATTTGATTTAAATCAACTCGATTTAGATCATGATTTAAATCACTGGTAAAAAGGCTTGATTTAAATCAACTTGATTTAAATCATAATTTTTAAAGAGCAACTGTCATTTCTGTCCCGCAGCAGCTCCTCTTCCGGTTGACTCACCGATAGTCCCAATATTGCAGAATATACAGCCTCATGCTACATAACTCAACTCCATTTCATGCTGAATAAACTAAATTATTAATGTATATTAAATATAAAACTATATTTAGATATATTTTATTCCAAAAGCATTTTATTAAAATAAAGTTAATAAAAATAAAAAAACTCCAATTTAAATAAATCAGGTTTTTTTAAACCATTGATTTTTATCCACCTTGGTCTGAGTTCAGTTTCAGCTTTTATTTTCCCTCAAACAGTTGAAACACTTGTTAAAAGACTTAAAATTTCACTTAAGCCTTCTTTATTTGAATATTGGATGAATTTTCTTTCTATTCTTTTTTTCTTTGCGAACCTTTTTATTCTATATTTTTATTTTGTATTTTATCCAATGTAACCCACTTTGATGATTTTGTAAAGGAAATGAAAATATATTATTCAGTAATCTATGTCTAGAAATGAATGAATTGGAATATAAGTCCACATTGTCATTAAAAGAGATCAAGAACAAGTTACTTGTCAGTGATTTCTTCAAAGGAAGATAAGTAGTGGGAAGAAAAAAAATTAAGATATCAGTAATAAAACGTTTTTATATAACCCCTATGTCTGCAACTTTCTTGATTATTATAAACTTAGTGGAAGCAAACTAGCTTATTCTTGACCTTCTTATCCAGAACTTTGCATCTTATGAATATAAAAATGCCATACAAAAATGGGGAAAGATAAAAATTAATAACAATAATAAACTCTGCAAAGAAGGTGAAGAAGCATTGGATCACCAATAATTAGGTGCTGCAAAGAGATCATATAGATTGACTACAAATAGCAGCTTGACAAAGTGGCAACAATGGTGCATCGGAAGTTCTGCAAGAAATACCATTTATCTGCAAGCAAGAACTGATGGGACCACAAAATAAACAAAAAAAATGAAGAAGCTAAAATGCTCTGGGACTTTAACAGAGAAGCACCTGCCACATAAAACCTTAGATTTTAACCATTGTTAAAAAGAAAGACGAAGTCTGGAGAGTTCTTTGTTGTTACAGTACCTGGAGACAACAAAATTGAAGAGAGACAATGGAAGAAAATCACAAAATACAAATAGAATAGAATTCTCTGTTTTCTGTTTTTACAAACAGAAGTAAAGCAAAAGAAAGCAAAGTAACAATAGTAATAGGTGCCTTAGGTGCAATCCCAAAACATCTGGAGCACCAGTTGAATAAATCAGTATTGATAAAATCACAATCATTTTATTACAAAAGGCAGTTTTACTCAGAACAGTTTTCACTGCAACCATAGCTTTAATACGATCAAACAACAAGATCTGCCTGTCCCGTGTTCTTGATAAGTGGATAAAATGCCAAATCCAATGTAAACATTTGGCTGACTGTAAAGAACAACAGTAACAACAATACTCCTTTGAACTAAGTTGTTCTTCCTGCTTAAGGTCTGTCCACAATGGAAGAATCAGTGCCCTAAAGCAGAGATTCTCAAAGTGTGGGCTGAAGGTCCCCAAGATCTTTTCAGGGGGACTCACAAAGTGAAAATAAATGAACATTTTAAAATAGCTCAATTTTAATTTCTAATACATTAATATTAATAAATATAAGCCACATAATCCAAAGCTCTTTGTGTTCCTCAATTATTTTTAAGAAAGTAAAGGGATCCTGAACCAAAAATAGAGATTAAAGATGTTTGAAAACTACTGCTTAGAACATCTTTAGCCCTTTATTTCATGTTATATTGCTGCTAGTCACAAAGATTGCCTGAAACATGGAAATATTTATTGTTCTATTAGTAGTCCTCCAATTTACCGTATTGAATGTAATTATGCTACTTCAGATCACTGCCATCACTTTGCTTTCTTTATTTTGCTTTGTTTGAACTTTTGTCCAACATGGTTTTCCTATAGCTAGCCCTTCAAAATTAATAAGGAGCAGTATAAAACTATAACATTATTTTTCTCTTAGGAGGTGGGGATACATTTCTGCCTAGCTTGTTGATGCCTGTCTGCATAAATTATTAGATATTATATCATCAAAAGTTCATGTGCTTCTGAACTTTTTATCATTTTATGGGAAGAATATTGCATAAAATCTGCTTTAGGAAGTTTCACACTTGTTTACTAGTAACTGCCAATGCATTTTGCTTTGGTATTGAGGAAAATAGGCACGCTTTCCCAGTGAAATGTGTGCCTTTGTGCAATGTCAGGAAAAGAGCTGATATTCACTGTGTTAGATCCCAAATACTGTATGTGTATGGTATACTTGCAAATTTTTAATGCTATTGAGGTATAAAAAAGATTTAGAGAGATAGTACCTACATTGTGCATAGTGTTCTTGTACCCAGTATTTAATTATAAGAGTAAGCCATAAAGGTCAAGCTATACTTCTTTCTGTAGCATAATTCATCCGTTTTCTGATAATCATGTAAATGAAATTAAAGAAAATTTAAGCCTTGCTTTGTGGATTTGCCTCTTTTGATAGTAGCCTTATGTAGATGACCTAATCAGAACAAATAGTTAAGTGTAACTTGCTTCTTAAGAGAATATAAAAAATTGAAAAACTGTATATCTAGGGAAAAGGTAACCAAGGACACATAAGCAAGCAGCAACAAAAGGAGAAAAGTGAAATGGGTATGGATATTAAGACTGAGAACAATTTATCTTATTTTAAAACAGTCAACATAGTTTAATGTTTTAAATTTTAACATAAAATAATATACAGCAACCAATCTATGCAGGATAGAATAATTGGTTTAAATAGTTTCCTTTCAAATCACTTTCTGTTTTAGGATACTGCTATTGTTCACCCTGTTCCTATTCGAATGACACCAAGCAAAATTCATATGCAAGAAATGGAACTTAAAAGAACCGGAAATGGTAAGAGATCCTTGTCACTTATAGAAATATCTTTTTAATAGCCAAGAATCACTTCCATGATAATTAGTTATTTGTTAAAAACAACAGAATTAAGGGCTCCAAGGAAAGACACTAATCATTTTGTTACTCATTATATATTTGAAAATATGCCATTTTTAAATCTTGGTGCACTTAAGAGTGTTTTGGGATAATTTTGACTCAACCAGTAATATTTTATATGAATACCACATATTGCATTGGAGTAATGAACAAAAACACAGAAAACTCTCTCACCTTAAAAATTAATCTAACAGAGTCTTGAAAAACTCTTTCAAGGACAAATTCAGCGAAACTGAGCCTCAATTTTAACTGAAATGTTTCTACTAGATTGCCTTTTTCTATAGAATAAAATATTGCATAGCATTATAAAGAAATATTGTGCAAAAATGCTTAAAATGTTCATAAATTCCTAAGATCGATCACTCTCTCTCTCTCTCTCTCTCTCCCCCCCTCCCTCTCTCTCTCTTTCTCTCTCTCTTTCACGCACATTCATTCATTCATTCACTTCCAGTTAGTATTCCTTCTTGTTTTCATATTTACTTTTGATTTTATTTTTAGTTAGTTTTAATTCTAATTCTATTGCCGTTTCTCTTTCAAACATGGATGCATATCCAGGTTTTGTTACCTGCTAGGGCAAACATAGGCATTTTATATTTCACTCTCCCTGTCTGGGTAGCAGCCATTTGGGGGATGGAAGTAGCCCCTTGGCAAAATTAATTGCCTACCCGTGTGCAAAGGTTATAAACTGACAAAATGTTCCGAATTCACTGTGAAAAGTTTTGAACTTGGTGAAATAACCAATATTTTAAAAAAGTGTCAGGCAGACTGTTAGTTGGGGAGGGCTGTGTGAGAGAGAGACAGAGACAGATTGTACCACTGTATCTGTGTCACGAGATGATGATTAAGGCTTGTGACAGACTGTACAGTGCATCTTTCACTAATGGCAGCATAATTGGTTATCCTCAGTTAACTCTTCTGTCAAGAATCCAGCTCACCTCTGATGTAGTATAGATCTTAAATACTGGAAGGGGGTCAAAACAGATTCAGTTTGGTACTTACGTGAAGTTGAGTTCACTTTCCAATACACTTTTGTAAGAGAATTATATGTTTGAAAATGCATTATTATATTTTAAAGAAGCACATGATCTCCCTGATTTTCTGTAATGACAACTTAGAAAAACAATACAGCTCAAATTGTAAACCAGGTTAAGGAGCAAATGCAAAATCAATCATTGGGAGAATATTTACTAGGAGTAATCAAAGTTATATAAAGCATGTACATTTTCTCCAGATCTCTTAGTGAGGCACGGTTATAAAATAAAAGATAATGAAGAAACAAACTGCAAAAGTTAAATATGAGATTTTAAGACATGATGTCTTAAATGATGACACCAAAATGGCAGGAATAGCCAACACTCCAGAAGATAAGCTTAAGATACAGAAGGATCTTGACAAACTTGAACATTGGGCACTATCTAACAAAATGAAATTCAATGGTGAAAAAAATAAGGTTCTACATTTAGGCAAGAAAATCAAAATGCACAGGTACATTATAGGTGGTACCTTGCTCAATAGTAGNGGCATATAAATGAAATCAATTCAATTCAATGATGCTTGAATTCTCAAATTGCTAGGAAAGGCAGTATAAACAAGCTTTAATTTCAAAAAAATCGAGACTGTAGAGAAAATTACTACAAAATATTTTGCAAGCTACTTTTCCATGTAAAATTTATTAAAATTACATAAAAAAATCTATGTATTCTGCATAAGGATGGAATGGAATGGCTTGTGCAAACCCATTGATGCACATAGATCCTTCTTTCATCATATGGAGCTTTTGTTTATATGATTGAAAGAATGCAAATAACAAACGTTGGGATAACTTTTTCCATTTGGGTAATGTTCTAAACTGAAATTGAATCTAACATCTGTCCCAAGGGGAAGGCTGGAGATTGAGACCTTTTGGTATTTTTCTAAGTTACAGTGGTCAAAGTGCAGGATAATGTGCTTTTGATTTTGTAAACTGCTTCCCCGCCAAAAAAAAACAACCTGTGATTTTCGTTGCTTAATTTGGGGGGGGGGGTGTTCTGGGCATTCCACAAAATATGACAATGTGGAATGCATTTGGCCACCACCTAAGTTTACACAGGCAGTCATATAAATTGGTACTATTTAAACTGTTATTGGAAACATGTTCAGTGATTTTAAAGCTATAAAGTTGTGGAGAATTAAATAAAATAATGAAATATGTAGATAACAGCTTTGTTGTTTGAAACACTGAGCTGTTGTATATAAACAGAGAACAGAACCCACACTCATTGACATTGATTTTGTTATCTAGATGGGTAATGAAATGTTTACAAGCAAACAAGGAAGTTCAGAGAGCAGTAAAGATTCTATAGTTCCTGAGCTACAGATATTCTGTCCTGTTGTAACTTAAACAGAACACTTCAAAAGTGATTTGAGTTGTTCAACATGGGATCTCTTCATAGAAAAAGAGTGTCAGTAAATGTATATAAGCTTTAAATACTTTACATAGTAGCTTTGTAATCTGAGAAAACAGGATGCCAAAATTATAAAAGGTTTTTTCTTTACAACTGTACAATTAAACACATTAAGAGCTAAGGAATTTAACAATATTGTGTTCAGAACAACTTGAGCTATAACGGGGAGGGGGGGGGAGTATTCCACAATTCCTGAAAGTTATTTCATGAAATGTCCCCTCAGATCGGTGGGAAAGGACAAAAAAGCTATTCAGGCATCGATTAGACGCAATAAGGAGACCAATACTGTTCTGGCCAGACTGAACAGTGAATTGCAGCAACAATTAAAGGTAAGACATTTGACAAGTTATTATGAGATGTTTTACAAAAATACATTGTGCCTTCCATTTAGCAAACGTATAAAGAAAATCCCAGGATGCATAGCTCATGCTTTCAGTTTGCATGTTCTCTTCAGCTTCTTCCTTCATATAGTTTAAGTGAGCTTTATTTTGCAGAATACCAAAGGCTTCAGAAAATGTTGGAAAACTAATTACCAGATCCATGAGATTAGGGAAGAAAAGGGAAAAGAGCCATTCAGTTCTTCAGTTCAGCTACATACCGTTTCCCAGAAAATAAGACCTCCCCAATTAATAAGCCCAATTGGGCTTTTGAGCACATGCGTTAAGACCTCCCTAGATAATAAGCCCAATCGGTCTTTTGAGCACATGAGAAAATATTGCAACACAGCAGCTGCCATGAGGTGACCATGCTCGCCGCCTCCTGCACCTCAAAAATAATAAGACCTCTCTGAAAATAAGGCCAAGCGCTTATTTCGGGAGTCAAAAGAAAATAAGACACTGTCTTATTTTGGGGGAAACGGTAAGTAGCCTATGTATGAATGAGGAGGTGATGTTGACGATCTATTCTCAGACATTTCACTGAAAGAGTTGGCGGAACAATCATCATTAGGTGATTGTGACTGCAGATTTGCAGAGAATATAAGTTTTTAATTGTCACATTTTTCCATCAACATAGTTCTGTAAAAGTAGATTTTCAGTGTTATTCACAACCAATAACACAATAATGAATTTGACTACTGATAAACTGACATGCAGTTCATACATCCATTAATATTTTCTATCTACTAAATATAAAATAGAGGTTTGATGAAACATAAATTTGTTTCAATATTTATTGATTTACTTTTTTACATGCAAAGAAACCACAAGTGTTCCTCCCTAAACAAGATTATTGAACTTAATTGCTGACATGTTTTTAAGAAAAATATAAAGAACGCTTGTTTAGGCAGAAATTTGCATACTGAAGTAAAAGTTGTGTTTTCACAGTCTTACATTATTTGCATAAACATTTAATTTTCTCTATATAAAATCAGCAAAACACTGTATATAAAATTGTACATGTGTATATATAGTAATATACTTTAATTATGGTATCTAAATGGCAATTTCTTTCCTTTCTAGGATGTTCTGGAAGAGAGAATTTCACTGGAGGTTCAACTGGAACAGCTCCGACCCTTCTCTCACTTATAAACCAATTGCCATTAACTGTGAAATAATTAACTCTGAAACAGAAATTTGGGTAAAAGGCCTAATTAAAATCCCATATGTTTCACTCAGTGCACTCTTAACATTTTTGTTGTGATTGTTATGTCCTCTGTCCACAGTTGTATTTAAGTAACTTTTTATAATTTTAATACAAAGAATGGAATAAGCATTTCCTTGAATGTTCAGTATATTGGCACTGCCAATCTTCCCATTTTCTTGGGAGGACATAATTTTTAAGTTGGAGCCAGATTTATACAACTTAAGTGGCCTATATCCCAAACTGGAACTGAATACTGAATGAATTTTCTATCTTTCACGTCAAAAATCATGAATAAAAACATCCCAATAGCTACCTTTATCACAAAAGCACATATATCATAAATACCTTTTACACATCTGTCTTACTGTTTAAATGGAAATTAACCAGCTGTGGTCATCGCTGATCCCCAAAATCAGAGTTCGCAGTCTTGCAAATCATTAGTAATTTCAGAAGCCTATTCTTTTTGAGTAACCCAATTATCTTCCAAGTCCTGCCTATGTCCTTTAATACTTTGCCATGCCAAATTCTGTTGTCCTTGTCTGTTAATTCATTGCATGTATGACCACAGCTTGACTATTGTTGAAATGTTTGCGTTCATGATGTCATTTTTGCAGTCTGCACACAAAGCGTTTCTCTTCTGTGAAAGGATCGGGTGTCTATCTCAGTCATGCATATTTCCTGAACACCACATATAGTTGCATGCTTTGCACATTATCCTTTACAAACTGACACACCCACCAAACATTACTGTAACACACTTTGTGGTCAAAAAGTGTGTCAGTACCTCAACTCTTCCCCAGTCTTTCCCCTCCACTCCTCACCCCACCCTCAATTTGTGTTTCTTAAAAAGTTGGGGTTCTTATTTCTGTTCATGTCTCCAAGCATTCTTCTTCTGGCTTGTAGACAGGCTTCATTATTAACACAACGTTTCCTGAGTGTATCCTGCTATTCAGGTTGATGTACTGTATTAGGATTTGTTGTATATTGTATAATACACACCTTTTGATCTCACATGTAAATTTGCATTAATGCTGACTAACAGCAGATATTCTATTTAATGGCTTATTCTGGCTGTGGGATCATAGATGTTAAAATGCATGGAAGTATCTCAGCAGAATCAGAACTAGCAACTGTGTGATTTTTACAAAAATAAAACAGCACAATATTTTAATTGGAGTTAATTCTTTTAATTTGGCTTAATAACGAGACAAGTGGACAGAAGGCAAGTTTTTTTACTGAATATAAAAAGGTAAAGGTTCCCCCTTGCACATATGTGCTAGTCGTTCCCAACTCTAGGAGGCAGTGCACATCTCAGTTTCAAAGCCGAAGAGCTAGTACTGTCCGCAGATGTCTCTGTGGTCATGTGGCCAGCATGACTAAACGCCAAAGGCACATGGAATGCTGTTACCTTCCCACCAAAGGTGGTTCCTATTTTCTACATGCATTTTTACATGCTTTCNCCTCAGGGAAAAGGGCGGCCTACAAATATTAATAAAATCTCTAAAATCTCTAAATCTAAAAAAATCTCTAAAATACACGGTCAGCCAGCCTGGCTGGCCTAAGCATTGGACCAATTTATGGAAATCATAAATTGGTGTTAATGGCAGTGTGTGGCTGCCTCTGAAGGCCGTCTGCTGGGACTAATAGACTTCTTTATGCAGTTGCTCGGCCACTGAGAAAACAGAGTGCTGGACTAGATGGGCCAAAGGCCCACTGTTTATATTCTTACAGAAATAATTGCTCAACAGTTATAACCAAACACAAAACATTGATTTAGCAAATAATAATAATAAAACCATGTGAAACAGGGTACTGACAAATACCAGTTGTCACTGGGCACATTAAAATTTATGGGCACCCATGTATAATAGTATATATTAGGTTATGAATCACTTAGGTAATTTTTTTTGTATGGCATTAAAGGTACTATCAATTGTAATTGCAACTTCGACTTTGCATACATGTCAAAGTAGTATAGACATTCTTTAGAACTATTTAATAGAGATGATTTAAATAATTTCTATCTCTGATACTGTATAGAATTAATAAATAGAAGACTGTCTTTTGCACAAAGTTTTAAAACCTATTAAACCTTGTACACCCTTAACATGTAGGATGGGCTGAAATAGAGCAACAAATACTACTGAGGTATGACTCTTAATTGACAGGATGCTGTATTATATCCAAACAACAGCTAAACATTTTCCAGAAATTAATATGATTAATGTATTATTAAGCAAGAAGGTTTTCAATTTTACTGTTTTTTAGGTCAACAGCAGACTGTAGCGATTGCTTGTCCCCCTGCAGTGCCTCCAAGACCTCCGCCTGCACAGGTATATTTGAATTTCTGTTTTAACTTTAACAACGTTTTCTTGTGATATTTTTTCAGATTGCATTTTCCTCTAGGCCATGAAATACAGTTCTCCCTTTACTACAGGACTCTTTGCCAGTGCATAGGACTGTCTTGGAGAAAGCAAGAAAGAATTTTGCATTCTCAAAATGATGAGCTCTCATAATGTGAAAGTGTCTTCATAACTAGAGCCATAATGTGACTGAGTTGGTGATGATTAGGTTAAGTGTATAGTAGCAAACTTTTTTGATTGACTTTTTGCATATATTTTTTTTATTTTTTAAAAAGGTTTTTTTTTTAAATTATAGGCTGGAAGCCACGCTCATCGATCAGCAGATGCTGACGGTTTAATAGTGCATAACAATACTTCACCTCACCAAATCCCAGAACAGCCAAACTTTGCAGACTTTAGCCATTTTGAGGTTTTTGCTGCATCGAATGTAAATGAAGATGATGTTGAAGAAATTGAGAAACTTCCAGAGGTTGTCCAGGTTAGCACATATCAATATATCTGTATCTGTCTATAGCTATATTAAGTGAGACTTTCCATAAATTTGAAGAGCATTTTCATCCTTAGCCTTGATAAGTTTATGGAATATGTCTCTGACTCTTTTTAGGTAGAAAAACCCTCTGATACTGCAGGATCTATAAGAGTTGCCAAAGGAGATGGAAGAATAGAGGACAAAACAGTTTCTACTACCCCTGCAAACATGGTATGCAACATACTAACAGGTGAACATATCTTATAAAATGTATTAATCAATGCACAGAAAGCAATTCGTTCAGGTTTCTTTTCTTTTCACTGTTTATAAATATTGAACAGAGCTGATAAGCTTTTTTTGTTAAAGAACTGAAGAACCATGGGAAATCAAGGAATTGGCATGAAGTGCAAATGGCTGCTGATTTATTTTGTGGCTGATGTCTTCAAAGAGGTTTATGAAAATTAGCTGCTTCTACCAAGTGAGATGACCTCTCAGAAAAGGTCCTATATCCCTAGGCACAGCCACCTTATAGCTTGTAGAATTGTGTGTGGTCTTTTATTAATGAGACTTACAGTAAGATCTCTTTAAAAGCCATAATTAATTGTATTAATTAGTTTAATAGCTAGCGTTCTGAGTATGCATGTGTGTGTCTTCAAGTCAGTGTTGTCTCCTGGCAACTGCATGAACTTGGCAAGATTTTGGAAGTGATTTGCCTTTGCTCTCTTTCAAAAGCTGAGAGGAGGGGACTGGCCCTGGTAACATATACGGCTTTATACATAGGATGGGACAGGAACTCAATCCTCTGGTTTCTAGCTGATGCCTTAACCCAGAGATGTCAAACTCAAGGGCTGCAGGCTGTATCCGGCCTGCGGGGTGCTTAGATCTGGCCCATGCAGCCACCCTGAAAACAGCGAGCGACTGGCCTGCAGTGCCTCTGCCAGAGAAAATGGAGCTCAAGAGGATGTCCCTCCCACACTCTGTTTTCAGCTGTGATGCCCTCCTACAGACCTCCGCCAGCAAAAACAAAGCTTCATTTTCGTTGGTGGAGGACTGTAGGAGACCATCACTGCCAGAAACTGAACTCAGGAACCTGTTCAGCTAGCAGCCTGCTTGCCCACCCCCACCCCCCAACATGAGTGACGTCAAGATGGCTATGCCACCCCTGGCACGCCCCCTTCGAGGTCAAACACAACCCTAATGCGGCCCTCAATGAAATCGAGTTTGGCACCCCTACCTTAACCCCTACATCAAAGTGATTCTTACACCTTAAATAATCAGTATTTGTAATTATTTAACCAACTAATATTTCTGAGGTCAGGTGAAACTTACTTCAATATGCATTCATCAACCATGATGACTCTCTTTTCAGGCCAAAGGCACTACACCTCTAGCACCACCACCAAAGCCTATTCGCAGAAGGCCAAAATCCGAAGATGAGCTGAGACCTGAAGTTGAGGAGCATGCACAGAAAACAGGTGTCATAGCTGCTGTTCTTGCTTCTCAGCCATCTATTCCTAGGTAACCCAAGATGTGTATGAGTATCTCTAATACTGAGATATTTTCATTTTAAATAGCAAATAGATTTATTATTAAAGGGGCATTTAATGGTCTATGATAGCCCCTCCAATTACGTTTCATCTTTATGGACTTAGCCCACTGGACTTTTAGCTCTGCATCTCTCCCCCNTCTGCCCTCCCCAGCCCCCATGAGCTCTCTGAAAGCCTTCATAAAGCTATACACGGCCATTTTGGTGAAGGGTGCGGGGCTTCAGGAGGCAAAAAATGCTCTATTTGATGTATAAGACGCACCCAGATTTTCAGCCTGTTTTTTGAGGGGAAAAAAGGTGTGTCTTATACTACGAAAAATACGGTAATTCATCAATGGTAAGATTTTATTTTAATTTATTCCAGCAGATGGTTACAGCAGCTCAGATTCCTTTACTTCAGATGCAGAACACATTGGAACTACTGTAACTAGACAACGGTAATTGGCTGCTTAAATATTAAAACAGAATGTTATTTGGTTGAACTGGTTACCTTGTAGCTTGTTTGCAGAATATACTTCAGTCTGGTAAAATTTCCTGTGATTCTATGATAGTGATTCAAGGGTTATTTTCTAGTGTTACTGCTCTACATTTAATAACATTATTTATTAACATAAAAATGAAATGAATGTTTATGTACTACTTATCAGAGTTATCAATTCAAAGGATTTTCAATATTTTAGGCTTTTAGAAGTTAAAACCTTCACAGAAAGTTTAAATAATTAAATGATTGAGTTGTAGGCAAAATGAAATGGAATAATGGAGGTACATACATTGCAGAAGGTGTCATTCTTTCACCAGAGATCTCATTGTCCTCAGCTAAATTGTCACTCTGTTGCTCTTTTTGCTATTAATCTTTTTTTTTAAAGAAATTGTTCCAAAAATAATACCACACTCTATAAGTGCTCCTGCTAATTGTACTCACCTAATTTTATTTGCTTATTAACAACATTGTATTCTGCTTTTATGAAATAAAATGTGAAAAGTACAATATACAGGTGCAAAACAAAAGTAGGGAAATGGTGATGAACTAAATCATCATAAAGTTACCCAATTCTTATAGTGAATAACATAGGTGCAAATAATAAAACGGAGCCCCCTGGAGATGCTCTTTCAGCAAAGCACTCCTTATCTTTCTCTGTTACCTGATAGAATAACTGCTTTCCAATAAATAGCTTAGGCTTCCGTCTGTTATTTTCAAGTTCCCAACTTCCCTGGCTGCACAGTCCGATTTCTCCATGATCATTGAGGAAGGTAGAGTACCTAATAAGAGCTAGTGTCAGCAGGTCAGAAAGAAAGGCCCTGTTGCTCCACAGGGGTTCCCAACTCCTGGTCTGTAGTCTAGTACTGGGCCACAGTCCATTGGGAACTGGGTCACACAAGCAGCAGGTGAGTGCATGAAGCTGCATTTGCGCAAGCGGCACATGTGTGCACATGAAACCATCCCACCCCCTCCACCACACTGCCGTCCACAGAGCCAGATTGGTTGGGGACCGCTGCTTTAAGGTTTTTCATTCAGCCTTTCCTTAGCTGGTATTTTCAAAGTCCTTCCAGATACTTCGGGTTGCCTATTGGATGAAGTGATGGTCTAGCACAGGCGTGTCAAACTCACAGCATCACGTTGTCATCATGTGACATATTGTTACTTTTTTCCCCTTCGCTAAAACAGGGGTGGCCATGGCCAGCGTGTGATGCATCCAGGCTGTGGGCAGGGAGTTTGACACCCCTGGTCTAGCACCTCTTGATGAGGCATCAGATTAGGGAACACTGCCTTGATTCATAACATATCCATTTTCAAATGTAAATGTATAAATGAAAAAGGTGCAGCTGAACTTCGATGTAATAACAATTATAACAAATGCATCAGGTGTGATACACAAATTTAAAAATGGGTCTTCGCATTGTATAGGATCAGTATTATTATTTTGTAAGTTGATATGTTACTTTTCTGATCTTTTAGTCTTTGGAAGTTGCAGTTTGCAATAGAATTTCTGTAGTTCCATTGTTTTTCAGGTCACATTCAGGGACTTCTCCAGATAACCCTGCTCCTCCACCACCCCCTCCAAGGCCTCATCCCTCTCATTCACGATCATCATCTTTAGATATGAATAGAACTTTCCCAGTTACTCCAGGTGAGTGTAGTTGAAATGTGTGAGAGTTTTTTGTTGTTGTTGTTGTTTTGAATTAACACATTTATAGAAATGCACATGTTGGTTGTGAAATAATTTTGATTTTTTCCCAAGTAATATTAAAGAAGTCTTATGAAACTAGTGAAATATATTTAATACTATTACAATTAAGGTAACATTAAATGCTACAAGACTTTACTAATACAGAGGGGGGAAATAACTTTTGATGTAAAAAATTAATGGTAGTTTTAAAAAACATTACATATTCAAGACTTCACAATTTTAAGATGGTTAGTAATACATTCCATTCCTCAAGACCTGCAATTAAAATGCTATTTATTATATTTCCTCAGAGGGAAATTCCTCAGAACTTAATATTCCCTAGGCCAGTCTTGGTAGTATGTTTTTTAACAGAGGAGTTTAATGTGATATCATTACTATAATTAAATTCTGTAGTCTTCAATTTTAAATCACAGGAATGTCTATATAAAGCTCTGATACAGTTTAGCGAACCACATTAATGACAATCTGTATATTTCAATTTGAAGAGTATGATATGATATCTTTTACCATGAGATGTGGTGTTACCATAAGATACGCTAAAATAGTGCGCATGTGCGGGAATCGGAATGGCGGCCAGGGCTCCTTCGTCGTAGATGACCTGACGAAAAAAGCGTTGGGAGCCCGTGGAACCAGCTTCTTANCTAATGTAGCTTAATTTCGCCGCTTGTTCTCTTCTGTTTTCAAATTTAATTTAGCTTTAATTTTTGGGGGGGTAGTCTCTTTTATAATAATACGATTTTCTCACCAGATGGACACACTTTCTCTTTCCATTTTCCTCCCGTTCCGGAGCTGTCCCAACTTCAGCAGCTTCAATGGCTGCGCTTCTGTCACTGGCAAAAAGAGATTCTCCTGGATCTATCAGAGACTTTGCTGTGTCCCTGAGATCAGCAGGACGTACTCTTCCCTGTCACCGTCTCTTCGGGATGGTTTAGGTCCAATAGGACTGTCCAGCAGCAAAAGTATCGACTGAGATCTTGGAGCTCCAAGATCGCATGTCGTGTCGTCGCGATGTCAGCTCCTCCTCTCCCTAATTTTTACATTCTTAAAAGTTAAATTAATTCTGTAGATTGTAATGTAATGTACCGTATTTTTCGGAGTATAAGGCACACCTAGGTTTTGAAGAGGCAGATTTAAAAAAGTAGGTAGGTAGGTAGATAGAGGGATAGAGAGGAAGAGAAAGAGAAATACGGTAGGTAGGTAGATAAAGGGATATATAGAGAGAGAAATAGAGATAGATAGATAGGTAGATAGGTACAGTAGGTAGGTAGGGAGAGAGAATGTGTAGGAAGGAAGGGAGAGGGATAGAGAGTGAGAGAGAGAGAGAGAAATACAGTAGATAGATAGGGAGAGAGAGGGTAGGTAGGTAGAGGGATAGAGAGAGAGAGAAATACAGTAGGTAGATAGGGAAAGAGAGAGTGTGTCTAGGTAGATAGAGGGATAGAGAGGGAGAAATAGAGAGAGAAATACAGTAGATAGGTAGGGAGAGAGAGAGAGTAGGTAGGTAGGTAGATATTTCCAGGTGTATTTATCCATGTGCTAGAGAAGGAAATTGCTGACAAGCCTTAAGACTTTGTTTCTGCTGGCACAACACTTGTTCAATGTAATTGTCATCAATTAAAGAGCTTTCCAAAAGGAAAAAAAAGTTTTAGCACTCTGCAAATCTCCGAAAAATGGCCTGTTTTTNCCTTCCAACTCTGCAATTTTATTATTATCTCTTTATTGGGTTGCCTTGAATAAAAATTCAGGATCAACCTTGCAGCATTCACAGTTTTAACTTTCCCATGCTGGGTCTGACTTCATATACCAAAACTATTTTAACATACCATTTGTTTTCTGTTTTCTTGTTTCAAATCAAGCAGGCAAGCGCACCTTTATTGTTTAGTGGCTTGCATCAAACTTCACAATCTTCGTCTCAAATAGAGTAATTATCTAAACTTGCACTGAATGTTTTTAAATTTCTTTCCAGATCACACAAATCCTACAAGTCCCTTGCTAGTGAAGTCACCAGATCTTGCAGAAGAAAGTAAAATAAGTTCATCAGTAAAATTCACAGGAGGAAATACAGCTGGTAAGTATCAGAATTTATTTTTCAATAATGTGTTGAAAAACGTGTTATTCCAATCAGCTGAAAAAAAATAAACAAGTATAACTTAGTTCTCTTCTGACTCAGCAACGATGTGTTTGGAAAGGAGACATTTGTTAAATGTAGTTTTGCCCCATTTTATGACCTTTCCTGCCTCAGTTGTTAAGTAAATTACACAGTTGATAAGTTAGTAACCCAGTTGTTAAGTAATCTGGCTTTCCCATTGACTTTGTTTGTCAAAAGGTTGCAGAAGGTAATTACATGACCTTGAAACTGCAACCATCATAAATGTGAACCAGTTACGAAGCATCTGAATTTTGGTCACATGTTCATGTGGATATTGCAAAAGTCATGACTATGAAAAATGGTCATGTCACTTTTTTCAGTGACAGTAACTTTGAACAGTCACTAAATGAACTGTTGTAACTCGAGGAATACTTTCAGTCAAAATGTTTTCTCCTAGTATAAAGATACAATTTAGTTCAGTAAATATCAAATCCCATCTATGGCAGGTGAAGATCTTTCAAATTTTATGATTCACACAATCCTTTCTAATAGAGTCATGCAACATAATCTTCCAGGTTGTAAACTATACATTTCTTAAACCTAGTCAAATATGTTATCAGTTGGGCTCAATTTATTATTTTTATGTGAGATTTTGCTCACTTAAAATTAATTACTCATATACTGTAATTTCTTTTATGCCGTAAGTATCCATTGGGGGCCATATATCTATATACCTATAAAAGCATACTCTTAATGGTAGTCTCAGGGCTGGACACTAGAAATGTGTCATGAATATTTTATCAGTTGGGCTCAATTTATTACTTTTTACATTCTTTTTTTNAGATTCCAAAGTTTTTTGAAACCCACCACTGGAACCACTGATGTTGAGGCAGGAGTGGGCTTCAACAATTTCATCAAAGGATACTCTGCCCAGTTGCTGGGTGGGTGTGGCCGTGGTGAGTATAGCCTAGTTGGCCTCCTACACCATGGCAGGAGAAGACATATTTTTGTCTTCCCCAGGCCTCTTTCGTCTTTCCTCAAACCTCTGGGAGTGCCAAAACTGCTTTTCCCAGGCTCTGGAGGCTCTGTTTCTGGTCTCCTGGAACTTCCAGGAGGTCCGTTTTCCCCCCCCCTCCCTGAGCCTCCGCATTGGCCCTGCACTGACCTTGCATCCAAAATGGTCTGCGTGGAGACTCCTGGGAGGAGAGGGGTGGGGTGGGTGGGGCCAGCCAGATGTGTGATTTGAAGGTTCTCCGAATCAGCCACAATGTTAGCTATGGGTTCTCCCAAATCCAGGTGAACCCATAGCAGCCCAGTCCTGTACAGTGGAGTTCTTGAGGGAGAGACCAACCAGTATATAGGACCGCCATGATTATCTTATTGTGATTATGAGCCTCTAGTAAAGCTGAATCAGAAAATACCTTTCCAGACTAAGGATGTCCCAGATATGCCGGCAAAAGAAGTCTTTACTCTCTGCTGGGTTCTCATTGCTTGCTAAATCCTTTAGACAACCAAATGTTCAAAGAAAAAGAGAAGCATAAAGCAATCCCACTTTATTTTGCGTTATGTCCATGGAAGACCTTCTTGAATCTTCTCAGAGTATTATTTTTTCATATAGGAGAGGACAATGCGCAGCTTTTCCCCTAGTGGTTGTCTCTTCCTTTATGGCATGACTGATCAACACAAATGAATCTTTTTGGACTCTTTCACTCCATGGTTATGCGAAATTAGGCATTTTTTAAAAATCTGGACATTGAATGAATTCATAGCTGTGGTACAGAAGGTGGTAGAGATGTCTTGTTTGTTGAAGAGATGACTGTTATCATGTCCAATTGAAACAGTTCCCATTTGTTTCTCTTTTAGGGAGCGCCAGGAGGTAGAAGGACGGTAAGTAGCTTTTATTTATTTTCTTTCGTTTACTCACTGTTCAGTTCTCATAGCTTGTTTTAAACATTTTACCCAACCAAATGCAGCTTCTGTGTTTAGAGAAAAGTGACGATCACACAATGTGACTCCCCTCAAGCCACCATTTTTACATTGATGAATGGATGATTTTCACATATTTTTCTCTACTGGTTTTTCTATAGTCTCTTTCATTGTCATAACTAATCTACAGGATTGGAAGGTTCTTCCAAGGGAGCGGGGGGTTGTGTCATGACATTGACTTCATTAATCCACGTGTCAGATGTCATTATATTGTGGAAAGTTCTGGAAAGAGCTATAGGCCTATACTATTCAAGATCCTGGTTTCTGTGTTGATCTATACATCTAATACAGTGGCGAAATTCAAAAATTTTATTACAGATTCTGTGGCTTGGTGGGTGTGGCAGGGGAAGGATACTGCAAAATCTCCATTCCCACCCCATTCTGGAGCCAGCCAGAGGTGGTATTTGCTGGCTCTCCAAACTACTCATGCTTTCCGTTAAATTTCTCCAGAACCTGCTGAATTTCACCCCTGATCTAATACAAGCAAAAAATTTATATGCAAGCATATTTCGCTGTTGATATTTTCATTGTGTGAATGTGTAAGATTCTTGAAAAAAGGAAGGAACATATATCTCAGAGCAGTTTTAACATATCTGTATCTTTTTAGCCCCCATTCTCTCCAGGTTGTATGAAAATACTTTTTAAAAAAAAATCTCTAGAATGAAGGGATTAATATACAAGACACCAAAGATAGTATTGATGGCATAGTTGAACAAGTCAAGAATGTTATATCAGAAAGTAGAGTTACATTTAGTTTTCCTTTTAGGGACGCCAGGACAAGCAGGGAGGTGGAAGGATGGTGAGTAGCTTCCATTTATTTGCTGCCATTCCTTTCTTCATATTCTTCTTCCATCTGAAGAAGTATCTCTTCTATCCTTTTCCCTCCTTCACTAAACGCATCACCCTCCCGTCCAGCCTGACCCCCTCTCTTCAATGGCAATTTTGTAGTTGCCTTCCCCATGGCATCTTCTGAATCTGGGTTCTCATGGGATCTTGGCAGGGGTGAGTCAGTGAAGTAGTTGAACAATTAGCCTCGTGATACAACCGGAACAATCTTGAACTAAACACACTCAAAAGGTAGAATTGTGGTAGATTTTTGAAGAAACCCTTCTATACTAGCACCTCTTACAATACTAGACAACACAGTATCAACAGTAGAGGCCTTCAAGTTTCTAGGCTCTATCACATCTCAAGACTTAAAATGGACAGCTAACATCAAAAAAAGCACAGCAAAGAATGTTCTTTCTGTGCCAACTCAAAAAGCTCAAACTTCCCAAGGAGCTGCTGATTCTATTCTACAGAAGAATGATTGAGTCTGTCATCTGCACCTCCATAACTGTCTGGTTTGGCTCTGCAACCCAACAAGAGAGACACAGACTTCTGAGGATAATCAAAACTGCAGAAAAAAACAATTGCTACCAACCTGCCTTCCATAGAGGACCTGTATACTGCACGAGTCAAAAAGAGGGCTGTGAAATATCTACAGAAAATATCTACCTCATATCCTGGACAAAAATTGTTTCAACTTCTACCCTCAAAATGACGCTATAGAGCAGGGGTGCCAAACTCAAAGCCCAGGGGCCAGATCCAGCCTACAGGGTACTTAGATCTGGCTTGTAAGGTTATCCCGGAAACAGCAAAGGTCTGGCCTGCAGTGCTTCTGACAGCGAAAATGGAGTCGGAAGCCCATTTTTGCTGGCGGAGTGCTTGGGCCAACACAGGTGCCCATGACACAAGTGACATCGAGATGGCATGCTTTTATTGTATCAGAGTAAAACAGTTACCTTTTGTTTTCATTTTAGGGCATGAATGGCCCCAGTGGAAAGCAGGTAAGCAGATTTTATTTACTTTCTTCTATTTCTTTTGTCATATTCTTTTTCCACGTGAAGATGTACTCCTGTGTCCTTCTTCCCCCCAAACATCTCCAGAGACCCCAAGAAGAGGCACCAAATATTCAATCTTCTTTTACCTTTCTTTCCAATAACCATTAAAAATAGATCCCTAAGCCACTATTCTCTCTGGAGACTGAGCAAGTGCATGGAAAATCATGTATCAGAAACTTGATGGATATGTGTGTGTGTGTGTGTGTGTACACACACATACATACATACATATATACACATACACATACACATACACACATATATATAGTGTCACAACCCCTGGTATGCCCTAATTATGGGAGGAAGCTAACTGCTTCCATTATCTGTCTTATCGGCTCGTCACAAGAGACCATCACGACAGAAACCCAATATTTTTACTGTTGCTTTTTTGTTACATTTGTGTTGTATTAGTCTCCCTTTAGTCTCCCAAATACAACATACATACATACATACATACATACATACATACATACATACATACATACATACATACATACATACATA